CCAATCGGGCAACACCAACAACATAACCCGAAGTAGCCCTCTCTCTTAAATGGCGCCAGGCGCCCTATCTACTCTACAACTTATCCTACAACTACGGTCATGGAAGCAACTAGATGACTTGACGACCAGCTAGTGATGACGTCAACACCAATGCCGACCTCCTTTACCACCAGGTACGTCACACTCTCTTGTCCCTCACTCTCCCTTGTTATCCCGCACAGCGCCCTTCACCTCCCGAAGAACCACCTTCACCCTCACCTCCTCCAGCGCCCTCATGCAGCCTGGCTATGGCTGCCAGCGCCCTGCGCCCAGGCTGCGCCCTACCGCTTAGCGCCAGCCTGGCTTCTCCCAGCCTAGCGCAGCGCAACACACCCACAATGCAACAGCGTGCCGGCCTTGCTCGCAATGGCCAAGATCCCCGCCCACTCACCCGCTTTGCCTATATGCCAGTGTTGCGTGTGGGCGGTCTACCTTGAGCCTGCGCCTGGGCCCCAGTACCTGTACCCAGGCCCAATGCAGATGGGGCCCAGGTAATACAGTTGCACCCCTTATGCTAGGGACGTTGTCCAGATTTAGACCCTGTACCGATTTCCCATTGGCTTCCCTGTCCTCTACGACGAAATACCGCTTTTCCATAGGCCAGGGAACAATGTGTGATGTGTCGGCCTCCCAGACTGTCGCCCTGGGCTCAACCAACCCAGGCCTTGGGCTCAACTGCCTCTGCAGAAGTGGGAGGCTCACAATGCACTTCAACCAACGGGCGTGCGGCAACTGTCTTATACCCACTTTGGGAAATGCTGAATGAAGGCCTCTTCGTGGATATTCTGGCCCGCCTTCACTTAGGGCGGGCACGAGGCTTGTTGGGGGCCTATGCCCAGAACATATGCATGTCGGCAAGGCCCTGTTGAGGGCTCAATCCTCACATTTCATCCCCCTTAGCTTCGAAAGTCCGTTGAGATGCTTACTTTGTAGGTGCCTTCCCCTTTAGTTGTCTTTCATATTCAGCCACCACCTGAGGTGCTGTTTCAATCAGTTCCTCTCTGGTGAACCACCAATCTTCTTTTGGATCTGTGTGATGCATGAATCTGACTCTGTATTCTCTCTTGGGTTTTGGAGGTCTTCCTCTGCCAAGAGGTATGGGAACAGGCATGTCTCTATGTTTGAGAATGTCGTCGATGTCCACGTGGCCATCCATGGTTGGGGGCAGCATTGATCTTCGTGAAGGAAATTGATCTGTCTCAGCGAAAGGTGCAAGCTTTGAGGCGTGAAACTCAATATAAGTGCGCAGGCGACCAGGGATTCGGAGAACATAGGAAGGACCATCCAAGTCATCCCCAACTACGTCCAAGACTTCCCAGGGACCGAAATAATGTGGCATTAGTTTACGAGAGATTCTGAATTCTTGTCCTAGCTCACTAGCCTTGACCAAGACACGTTCCCCTACCTGAAATATGGAATGTCGACGATGTTTGTTCTCAGAAGCAATCATTGCTTCTTGAGATTTCCTGATGTGCTCGACAGCTTGTTGCAGTAACTTCTCATACTGCACACCACACTCAAGTGTGCCCGGAGTTGTAGAGGGTCGATTTTCAGGCAGGAGGAAGTCTAGAGTAGATCTAGGCTTCCATCCCAAGTGCAGTTGGTTAGAACTAACGCCGTTTGTGCTGTGCACAGCGTTGTTGTACAGGATGGCAATGAGAGGCAATTTCTCATCCCAGTCATCCTGGCTGGGCTTGATGTAGTGCCTCAACAAATGTTGCACAACTTTGTTCATCTGTTCGACCTGTCCATTGGCTTCGGGATGATTCCCAGAAGTCATCTGAAGTTGACTGCCCATTTGCTCAACAGTCTTTTTCCACAACTCACTTGTAAAACGGACATCTCTATCACTAATGATTGACTTTGGCAGTCCAAAATCACGCACCCGGTTGTCCAAAAACAACTTGATGGCGTGCTCAGTCCTGGCAGTCTCTGGCATGGCAATCAGTCTAGCATACTTGGTAAATCGGCCTATGATGACAAAAATGTGCCTATTGCAACTCCTGCTGGTTACCAAGGTGTCCATGAAATCCATGGAAACACTATGTCCCGGACCAGCGGGAATAGGCAAGGGCTTCAGCAGCCCAAGCGGTGCTTGAGTTCGTCGCTTGTCCCGCTGACAGACCTGATAGGTCTCCACATATTTCTTTGCATCATCTAGCATTCCGGGCCACCAAAATCGCTGTACTGGATTGGCACTGGTCTTTTTAAAGCCAAAATGTCCAGCTGCATCATGATATTCACCTAGAAATAAACTGCGCAAATTTTCACTAGATGGAACAACTAATCTTTCAATCCCAGCCTTTCTCAGAAAGAGCAACCATTCCACCATCACAAACTCATCTTCAGTGGCCTTGTCTTTAGCCTGCAGCTTGCGGATGATGTCCATCGTGACAGGGTCTTCCTGATAGGCTCCCACCAGCGATTGAGTTACTTCTTCAGATACGCCAAATTCAGAAACTAGCGCCCCTAGGTAGTCTGCCCTACGTGATAGCTCATCCGCAACCTTGTTGTACTCTCCTTTCAGATACTCTAGCTTGAAGTCATACTGATCTATGACTTCAATCCATCGCTTGAGTGCAGCAGAAAGAGCAGGTTGAGTCTTGATCCATTTGAGGGTCTGATGGTCAGTTCTCAAATAGAAAAACCGCCCCAACAGAAAGTGCCTCCAATGGACAAGTGCCTTATAGAGAGCACAGGGTTCCCTTTCGTAGGTGGACTTTGCCAGTTTCTTTGATGGCATTTTCTTGCTCATATACTCAATCGGTCTCAACTTTTTCCCCATCCGGCTGAGCCAACACTGCGCCAATGCCGTACTGACTTGCGTCAGTGGTCACAATAAAGGGCTTCTGAGGATCGGCCACCATGAGAACCTCGTGATTCATGAGTGCATCCTTCAATCGTTTGAAAGCAGCCTCACACTCATCACTCCAGTCCCAAGGCGTATCAAGTCGAGTGAGATCAGTCAAAGGAGAGGTGACCATGGAATAGTTTTTCACAAAGTTCCTATAGTAGCCGCACATCCCTAAGAAAGATCTGACCTCAGTCACTGTCTGAGGTCGTGGCCAGTCCCTTATACTAGCCACCTTCGCATCTTCCGGCCTAATCCCTGCCACGGATACTTCATGACACAAGTACAAGATATTAGTGCGTCCGAATTCGCATTTCTCTAAGTTGACCTTATACTTGTGCTGCCACAGGAGTGAGAGAACAATCTCTAAATGTTGTGCATACTCCTCGACAGACCTACTGAAGACAAAAATATCGTCGAGGTATACGACAACAAACTTGTCCAAGTAGTCATGGAAGATCCTAGTCATAGCGCGTTGGAATGTACCCGGCGCATTGCAAAGGCCAAAGGGCATCACCACAAACTTGTACAGACCGTATCTCGTCTGAAATGCAGTTTTGTGTTGATCCTCAGGTCTTATGGCAATCTGATGGTAGCCGGATTTTAAGTCTACCTTGTTGTAGTACCCTATCCAAAGGGCACCCTATCCAATAGGTCGCCGATGTGAGGTAGAGGCTCTGCGTTCTTCACTGTGATGGCATTGAGGCCTCTATAATCAATGCACATCCTTAACGATCCCCCCTTCTTCGGTACAAACAGCACTGGAGATCCGAAGGGGGAAGTACTAGGCCGTATCCAACCGTTTTTTGTCAGCTCTTTCAGTTGTCGCCGGAGTTCGTCCAACTCGGCCGGAGCCATCCTATAGATCCTTCCCCTTGGGGTTTTTCTCCCTGGAATTATTTCTATGGCGTAGACAATCTCCCTATCTACGACGCCCGTGAGCTCCTCAAACAGATCAGGGAACTTAGTAACGAAGTTCTCTATCTCCGGGGTTGTTTTAACGGCCTCCCCTTTCTCAGAGACATAGACTAGGTACATGCCCTCCTCTTGGTTCTGTTTATAGTAGTTGTAGAATGTTGATGCTCACAAGCACCCGTAGGAGTCTAACAACCTACTAGCCTTGTACTTGGCCAGTCTCACGGTCCTCCCATCAGGCAACTCATGTTTGAGCACCTTTTTGTCCCAGTCAAACTGGGGCTTGGCAACCTCAAGGTAGTACATTCCTAATAGCATGTCGAACGGTAAGTCGTCACTAACCTGGAACAAAATCTTCTGATTAAGTTCCCCTCCTCCATAGGAGAAGGTGCAGACTACATCCTTAACGTAGTCTGACACTACCATACGCTCCTTGTTGGCCAAAGTAGATGTTACTGGTCTACTAAGGTGCTGTACCCGGTCCTCTAGGTGCAGCCTTTCCAAACAGTCACGACTTATGTAATTCCTCGTGGAGCCAATGTCTACGAAGGCACCACATTTACGGCCTCCTACCGCAACTTCCACGATGAAATGTTCCCCTCTAGGACCTCTACTTAGTGCCACTCAAGATTCGCGAGGGTCCTTGCTTGACCACTCACTTTCTAAATCTTCTAAGGCCTCAGACACATCCAACGTACAAAGTGTCGTTTGGTCTGGGTGTGTCTGCGGGGTGACTAAAGAGTCATTAGCTATGACCATCTCATGAAGTGGGGAGGGTATCTGGCCCACTTCACCATGAGTAGAAGCAGCTAAAACTTCCACCAGCCTCAAGTGTTTCCCGAGCTGGAACTGGTCCCAGCCTGGGAAGAAGGCACCCCTCCCTTAGGGGGTATCTTCTGCGTGACCTTTGCGTTCTTGCACTTGTACTGGGTGTATCCGTATTCACCATAGTTAATGCAAGCACCACGCACTCAGCGGTCCCGCCACACTTCCTGATCAAGACCTGCCTTTACCCAATCTGCTACTTTGGACTGATTTGAGGTGGCCTGCCCTTGACTGTTTTGATGACCGCCGTTGCTGCGGCCACCAGCCTTTGTCTTGACTACTGCGGCGAGGATGCTACCCTCAACAATTTCCTCGTCGTCGTACTCTGAACCATCCATCAGGTCGGTAAGTTCTTCGATTTCAGTTTGAGTCCCATCGGACTCAACCATCATCAATCTACTACCCTTCTTTTTCCACTCATGTGGACTCTTCTTCTTCCTCCCGTCTACTGGAGTCGGTTGAGCACTTCCTAGGGTAGCCTCCAAGTCTAAGGCCTTTCTAGAGAAGGTCTCAAAAGAATGATACTCGAGGCGAGCCTCGCTGGCCAGTAAGGTTCTGAGATTCTCGGGCAGACATCTAAGAAACATGGTCAATAAGGCCTGGTCATCATAGGGTATACCGGGAACGACGATGAGGTTCTCTACGGTAGACGTCAACTCTCTGACAGACTTGTACCTTCGCTGGTCTAGTCTCAACATCGCGTCAGTGGCAATTTGTGCCTGCTGCGGATTATGCCAGCGAGCTTCTACCATATCCAAGAACTCTTCTAAAGTGAGGGTTTTACCCCAATCTGCCATTCGTCGTCCGAACCCGGCTTTCACTACTATCCCATCCAGCCATTTGGTTGCCTTACCGTCGAGGTGAGATGCAGCAGTAATCACCTCCTCCTCCTCCTCCAAGGTCCTCTTTGCCCTTACCCACATCGGAACCGTCCTCAACCAAGTGTTGAGTTCCTCATCCTTCTTCTCACCGGAGAAAGCAAGGGGCGGTTTCATTGGGGTCTTTGGTTACCATGGACTTTGCCGTTGTCCCTGAGGTGGAACAGATTGTTGCAACTGTGATGTAGCTCCAGCCGCTGGACCAGAAGAAGAAGAAGCAACAGTCTGTGTGGTTGCTGCAAACGTACCACTTGGTTGTGTGCCAGCTTGTGCTGGAAAGGGGCCTGACATCGCCGTTAACGGCAACGGCGACTGTGCTGCTGGCCGTAATCCTGGCCTTTGCAAAAGGTCCAAGATTTGGTCCAAGGAGTTCTGCATGAAATCCAGCCTGCTGTCCACATGCGCATGCAGCGACAGTATGCTGGACCTTAAGACTTTCATTGCGTCAGACATTGCTGACTCATCTAACTCCTCTAACGCAACTTTGTCTGCCTCTAACGTATCAAGCCTGGCTGTTCTATTTCTAATCTCATTTTCCCTATCGGTAGCTTGCTTCAGTTCCCTCTCTAACCGTGTGCGGATCCTTTTGACTTGTTGGAGCTCTAGTAGCTCTCTACCGCGTGGGGTCAACGGACTGAACTGCGAGCCCGCCATTTGACTTGTGGACTGACTAGAACCTACTGATCCGGAAGTACAAGTGGGCCCAAGGGCCATCCCCAACTGGGTCCCAAACGAGGATGCAGCAGAGGATGCTGCCGCGGTAGCCATTGCTGTTGCGCTGGCTGCTGCTGCTGCCCGTTCCCTAGCTGCGGCGTTTGCTGCTGCCAACGCCTGACTTGCAGCTAGTGCTGTTTCCCTCACTGCTGCGTAAGCATGGGCTCTAATTTCCGCACGAAGCCGTCTTTCGTGTCCCGGCCGTAGGGCCTGATACACGTGCGGGACCCTAAGTGATCTCGAACGTGTTAGCCTCGCATCGTCAACTCTACCCTCATCGGCGTCTGACCCGCTCATCAATTAGACAAACACTATCTGCACTACAACTCCCTGCTGGAGTCCTACCACCACATGTGTCTACCCGACACCTAATTTTCTAAAAATAAATGTGTCTGGCAGGTCCCCTACTTAACCGATCAAGTGGCAGCCTTACAACATTTACAAAGACTGTAAACATAATGTAATTTTATCCAGATTATTTCACTTACAAAAGCTTTGCATAGGACTGGATATGGTAGTATACTACAGTCCTAAACTAAGTTGTCTGTGAGGTGTTAGCAGTTTGTCAACCAACTAATCAAAAATAAAACTAAATTATGTTGCAGATGTATGAACAGTGGATATGGTTGTGTTTGCAGTCGAGCACCAATTGGAACCTACCCTCCCCTCAATCCAACATACCGATGAGCATCAATGAGCAGCACTGTCATAGGTGTGCAATGTCGGCCCACCCCTGTGCCCCAGGTGCATGCTTATGACCAGGCTTGCCCGTTCTTTATCCTCGCGTGCAACGAGCCGTACGTCCGACTTATCTGACTGATCAAGAGGCTTATTTAAGGACTGCCCCCAAGGTCGCTCATGAATTATTTAACGTCGCAATCAGGACGACAATCACAACCAGTGGACAGATCGGAACCCCATCCAGAAATGTTTATAGACGGTCTGGGAGCGTCTGCATAAGCCTGTTCAGTCCGCACACCCCTCTATCAGCGCAGCAAAAGAGCCCCAATGGACAAAGCAGCCATCACATGCATGTACTAATCCCATTAGGTTGGCATGGTGACCGTGACCCATGTGCTTTGACCAGGGCCCTTCAGAGGCACCGCCCTTTCTCCTTCCAAATGCGCCACCGGGAAGATTGTCGTCTCTCAAGGTAGAGCGCTCACGACACCTCACCAAAAGAGAGGACTCTCAAGTTGGACTCACTTCCTCGCGGTAAGAAGAGATTGAGAGGGTAGATAAGGTAAGGGAACAACGTACCTGGAGATAGCTGCCCCCAACCATAGATGTCTCACCAATTGAGCCGAATGTGCATTTGATGACCGGTCGTAGCCTCGGTAGCCCACACAACGCAATGTAGTGCCACCTCAGCCAAATGCCACATCAGCATGCTCTCATCACCATACATACATTCTGCCGTCACCACGGCCTCCCAAGTCGTACAGCCTTCCGGCGCGCACCTCTCTATCTAGGTCGCGCACCTATTTTTGGCCCGACGTCACAAGAGCCAACTGCGAAGAAGCATTGTCAATGCACCAAGTCTGTATAACGCCGGTGCACCAAGGTAAGTGGCGAATCGAACCAGCTTCGATACCAAATTGCAAGGAACATGAATGTGGACGAAGCAAAGAAATCCCAATTGCAAATCACACTGAAGTCCGAGTAGTCAAAGCAAGAGCAGATAACACATTGGAACCAAGCAACCATCCATTTGAGAACGATACAGCAAA